ATTGTACAAATTGACAAGCACGTTCTAAAATGCATATGGTGTTGCAAGAGATCTAGTATAGCCAAAACAATTGTGAAAAAGAAGAATAAAGTAGAATAACTCATTTCCTGATTTCCAAACTTACTACAAAGGAAAGGTAATCAAGACAGTGTGGTTTGGGCACAAAGATAGATAGAATAGAAGTTAGAGGTCAGTTGATTTTCGATAAGGATACCAAGACAAGGATATTTTTCAATGGAGAAAAATAATCTTTTCAGCAAATAGTGCTGCGACAGATGGCCACATGCAGAAAATGAAATTGGACCCTTACCTCACACCATTTACAAAAATTAACTCAAAATGGACAAAAGACTAAGTATAAGAGCAAAAACTATAAATTCCTTAGAAGAAACCATAGGGGTAGCTCTTCATGATCTTGAATCTGGCAAAGGATTCTTAGATATGACACAAAAGCATAAGCAACAAAAGAAAAAAAAATAGATAAGCTGTACTTCATCAAAATGATAAACTTTTGGGGCCAGCCCAGTGGTGCGGCGGTTAAGCATGCGCACTCCACTTTGGCAGCCCCAGGTTCGCAGGTTCGGATCCCGGGCGTGCACCGACGCACCACTGCTCAGGCCATGCTGTGGCCACATCCCGTATAAAGTAGAGGAACATGGGCACAGGTGTTAGCCCAGGGCCAGTCTTCCTCAGCAAAAAGAGGAGGACTGGCAATGGATTTTAGCTCAGGGCTAATCTTCCTCACACACACACACACACACAAATGGACAAAAATCTTCCTCACATACACACACATACACGCAAAAATATCTGAATAGACATTTCTCCAAAGAAGATATACAAAGTGACTAATAAACACATGAATAAAGCTCAACATCATAAACCATCAAAAAATGAAAATTAAAACTACAGAGACCACTTCACACCCACTAGAATGGCTAAAATAAAAAAGACAGATAATAAGTGTTGGAGAGCATCTGGAGAAATTAGAGCCTTCATACACTGTTAGTGGGAACATAAAGTGTTTGGAAAATAATCTGGGAGTTCCTCAAACAAAAACATTTAACACATGACCCAGACTTTCCACTCCTGGGTATATACCCAAGTGAAATTAAAGTATATGTCCAAACAAAAACTTGTACACAAATGTTTATAGCAGCATTATTCATAATATCCAAAAAATGGAAACAACACAAATGTCCATCAACAGAGAAATGGATAAACAAAATGTGATGTATCCATATAATAGAATAATTCAGGTATAAAAAGGAATGAATTACTGATACATGCTAAAACATGGATGAACCTTGAAAACATTATAAGTGAAAGAAGTCAGTCACAAAAGACCACATTCTATATGATTCTTTTCATATGAAAGTTCAGAATAAGGAAGTCTATCGAGACAGAAAGTAGATTAGTGGTGCTTAGAGCTGGGGTGGGAGCAGGGATGGGAGGATAAAGGGATGACAGCTAAAGGGTACGTGATTTCTTCTTGAGGTCATGAAAATGTAATAAAATTGACTAAGGTGATGGTAACACATGTCTTTGAATATATGAAAATATACTATACTAATATAATATACTAAAAGCTACTTTAAATGAGTGAATTATATGGTATGTGAAATATATCTCAATGTAGCTGTTAAAAAATGCAATATAGTTGTAGATTTGTGAAATAAACTTAAGGAAATCTATATTATAAATTAATGCTCTTGCACATCTATGTAAATAACCAGATCGAACTTTATGAGACCAGCCTTATTTTTAATGAAGAATATTTATTCTTTGAAATTATTATAATCACAAGAAAGGGAGATAGTAAGAAAAAAAGCAAAATCCTTTGAAATGGGTGTATATATATATATATATACCTCCATTCCCTCTTCATATATATATTAGATTATTATATATATATGTGTATGTGCGTGCATCTGTCTCTATATATATATACATATATACACGTACATACAAAAGAGTATCATGTATGTAATATATTGTTCTCTCATTACACATGTAAGATATAAGTTCAAGTTGTTAGAGTGTCCTTTCTAGTGCTTTCTAGTGTGCCCTTCTGGGTTATCTTCACCTTTCACTATTTTGAGATATTTTACAGATATGTTACTTGCAGAAAAAGTGATAATAATGTACATTATTCTTGGTCATGGAAATACAGGTTATTCAATGGAATGCAACTGATTATTGCCCTGAGGATAGAACTGTTTTGCAGCTATTTATAAATTCATTTTGTCATTTCTTATGTTCTGTATGTGTGATGTTTTGAATTCTCCTTTGAATGGTTGTAACATCTTACTGGTTCCCTCACTAATAAATAAATTAAAATCTGTGATATGTTTTCATTTTATATTTGTGTGAGTCACAATTATGTCCTTTATTTTTTTTATTGAGGTAACATTAGTTTATAGCATTATGTAAATTTCAGGTCTACATCATTGTATTTTGACTTCTGTACAGACTATGTTGTGTTTACCACCCAAAGTCTAATTGCCATCGTTTACCATATGAATGTGCCCCTTTACCCCTTTCTCCCTTCCCTCACCCCTTCCCCTCTTGTAACCACCAATCTGTTCTCTGTATCTATATGTTTGTGTGTTGTTGTGGTTATTTTTTTATCTTCCATATATGAGTGAAATCATAAGGTATGCCCTCTTTTAAAAATTATCTTTAAGTAGTTCTTTTCCTTCTTCTTCTTTTTGCTATTCAGTACAAAACTACACAATGGAATATAATGGAGAAAGGAGACAAATCCCTGTACATTTTCCTGTTTCTGGGGATCCTTTCCTTTCTTTCAGCCTAGGAAGGAATTTGCATACATTGTATTTATTTGGAATCTTCTAGCTCAAAAAACAAATTCATAACTGTTTAAAAATTGGTTTATGGTGGGGCTGGCCTGGTGGCGTAGCGGTTGTATTCACGTGATCCGTTTTGGCGGCCCCAGGTTCACAGGTTCGGATCCCAGGCGCAGACCTACGCACCACTCATCAAGCCATGCTGTGGCGGCATCCCACATACAAAATAGAGGAAGTTTTGGGCACAGATTTTGGCTCAGGGCTAATCTTCCTCAGCAAAAAGAGGAATATTGGCAACGGATGTTATCTCAGGGCCGATCTTCCTCACACACAAAAAAAATTGGTTTATGGAAAGATCTACAGGTTTATTGATGACTTCTAAGGGGGTTAACAGAGATATAATCATTGATTTTAAGAACTATTCCACTGATTACTGTAAACAATTATGTTTATAAATTAGATTCTTCAGTACTCCAGTAAAAACGGGTGAAAATCAACTTTAACTCATAACTTTAATATTTTCATACAATCAAAAAATAAAGATATACATTAAGTAGGCATAACATGAGTTTTTTTAATTGACCAGAATATATTGGGTATGTTTTGCAGATAAAAGATGTGGTGGTTTCTATTAGCAGATTAAAACCAAGAGAAAATTAAAATAAATTCACATTAAAAAATTATTAAGCAATAAATATAGCACTACAGCTACCATTTATTCTATGTTACATTTGAACAAACACTAAATTCCAGAATGGATATTTTATGAATAAATGTACTGGAAAATAAATTTATAAAATAAAAAATGACAGATTAGAATTTTCAAAAATTAAAATGTGACTTATACAAGTACTTGCAGAAAAATAGCAGATCTACATATTAAAAGTTAGAAATTCCCCAAATTAGTTTTTAGATACCAAAGAAGTTTGCTTTTAAAAATGTTGATTGTACCTATTCTTCATGAGTAAGATACAAAGGACATGTTAATTAGCACTTCAGCTTTACAGAAGACTAATTTTTAAAAATATAACCCCTAAAAAATATGAGTTCGAAATTAACACTAGTTAATCATGGGCTGCCTACACCTGAAGACTGCACAATAGGTGAATCTTGGCCATAAAGGAAATCTGACCTAAAATTAATATGAGCACAATAAAAAATTCTTGAAAACTACAATGTAATTTTAATATAATGATAGCTGATAATTTGACATTTTCTACTGTCATCACTTGATAATTTGTCTGGAAGAATGCTGAAATATGTGAACAGCATCAGCAAAGGATTTGAATCTGTGTCTTTGAATAATAAATAGAAAAAAAATGAATTTATTTAAAGGAATTTTTGTATAATTTAGGCAGTAGAAAGTCCAGAACAGCTTGCATTCCTTTTTATGACAGCTTGCTATGAAAGTCACAAATTTGAAACTAACTTAATAAAACCTTTACATATATATAGATAAATTATAAATGTATTGACCAGAACATTTAATGTGTTAATTCTTACTAATTGAGATAATTTTCCTGGACAATTTCAAATGATTTCCGAACTCACCATCTATTGACAGCTTAAGAAATAACCTATGAAGACTAAGTCACTAGTTTAATCCATTTTAAGCAGATTGACGCACTGCAAAAACACATACACATAATGACTTCTCATAAAAGTCCAAAACTGACTTTTACTAATTGAAGGCATTTTTGCTTTTTAGAAATTTCAGTGGAAAATAAAATTAGGGAAACTGAATCCCATTTAAATGTCACTTTAATTCATTGGCAAGATGTTCTTCACCTTAATTTAATTATACCATAAATGTTTGATAACAATTCTTTCTCAATGATGTATTCAAGTCTTTCACGGATTTGTATTATCACATATAGTAGCTCTGTTAAAATATTAAAACATTGTATATGATATATATTGTATTCCCCTAGTTTTTTAAAAATAGTCTGAAACATTTCCAAAGCCATATATCTTCATATAGTAAAAGTCAGAAAAGTAATAATTTTAATGGGGTAGAAACCATAAGAGTAGTGGATTGGCATTTATTACAGTAGGAGTGGTTTACATTTTCTGGATTAGAATACAAGTTCATCGTCAAAGTAAAAGGAGAAATATGTCAAACATACCTATTCTCAAGGTATGAATCATCAAAGCTAATATATTCAATAAAACAATGGCCTTGAGATTTTTTTAAATAAATATTTTATATCTTATCCTAGATATTTCTGATATCTTAGTTTTTAAACAAACTTCTGATGCTGGCATCTGGTTGTCTTTAAAATATTTACCAAATATAGAATTCCAGACTCTATTTTATTATAAAATCAGCCCAGACGTAGTATCAGATATTAACATGCATACATCGTTACATTATGTATTTGTTTTTAAAAATCTTACCTAGATTGTACGTATCTGATTTGAGACTGTAAAATAGAATAACAGAGTATTTACAAGCTCGTTTTTCACAACAATTTTTTTTACAAACTTCCAAAAAAATAAGAAATCCTTCATTGATTTCCTTCATGTAAAATATTTGCTAATTTGTCTACACAGTAGAAATGGAAGGGGCAAAGTTTCTATTTACAGATATAGGGAAACTGATTCCCTCCCACTTGTGTAGTAAGATAGGAGAGTAGCTGACAAGGTGTTTTGTAGTCTCAACCAAGGTGTCTCCCTAATGATACCAAAGTAGAATTGCATATTACACACACTATTCATCAACTCTCCAAAGCAGATATGACACAGGGTGTAACTGATAGATCAGCAAATGAGTAGCCAATAGCAATTCTGCTCAGTTGCCTTTCTTGGGGAGAAGAGGGTGAGCCAACAGGAATAATTAACTCTTTATCTGGTCCATTTGAAAAGGTAGACACAAAAAGGGCTAGAATACTCTCTAGGCAAAAAAAATCAAATGCACCGATGAAAATGGGATAAAAATTTTAAAAACAAACGAATGAAAAGCTAATTTTCCCTCCAAGTCTATAGGCTTTAGCTAGCTCACTTTAAGCAACAAGAGTAGAGTCATGCCCAATGTGTCTATGAACTTTTACAGTCTTATTCATTTGTGAATTCATGCAGCAGTGTGCTGGAACTGGCTCACACGAGGCTACAAGAGTTGATTGTGCTCATATTTTCCCAATTCCACATTCAGTAATGTCATGTTAGTAGCTTGAAATCAGCCATGGTAGGAGTATTTACACCATAGAAACTGGCAAATATTACAAATCAGGGTTTTTTTTTTCCTCATAGAGCTAGTTGTTAAACATTATCGACACACTACTGAATTCATGTGAGGATTTTCTTTGTGCCATTCAAGAAATTCTTTTAATATTGAAGTCTTCTGGTTGTAAAGTCATGGATCCAGGTCTTTGAGTTACTAGTGGCACAAAATAGTTAAGCAATACTCCCTCCATTATCAATTATATAACTTTTCTGATTTTAAGATAATATTTTCCATATCATGAATGCTTTTTCCATTTAAGTGTTCGCTAGGACAGTCATGACTGTAACCTGTACCATCACTGATTGTTGACACTGTGTAAGATGCAGTACGGAGGACATCTGGATGGGAAAAGCTGTTTCCAAATTGGATTTTGTATTGATTCCAGTTTCTTCTCAAAATTGCTTGAACCTATCAATGAAAAAGAAATAGAAAGGCCAAGAGCAATCCATTAATTGAAACCAAGATATTGTATTTAAAAGTATAATAAATTATGTAGAAAAGCTTTCTTTTTTAAAAAAAAGAAGTTAATTAGCATTGAAGTTAATTAGCAAATAATATTGCTTTATTTTCTTACTTAATTTAAAAAATTAAATTGAGTAAACCATCTTTACATTAGGGAATTCATTGCAATTACTCTGTACTTTTAGATTCGATGAATATTTTTCTTTCCATGCCTTATCTTTGAAGCTTTAATAATGCATAAGAATGTATTGTTTTTGAACAAATAGTTAATCCAGACCCCTCACTTACAAGTTTGCATGCACAACATTTAGTTTTATGCCAAAATCTTCATTAATAGAATGAGAAGATAATGAGTGATGCCCCTTTGCCTGGATGAAGTTGAAGTTTATTGACGTTTCCTTGTTCTCTGCCTGGGGCTAGAGATCAAACTCAGGTAGGCCATAGAGAGTGACTTTGGTTTTAACTGAACATAAGACACCAAGGTGATTTTCACCATATGGAGTCAGTGAGAACAAATAAGAATATTCAAATATGTCTCCAGCTTGATCACCTGGACATTTCCAGATGTCTGATGAGTGAGCAGACCAGCTTGGGGCTGTCAGCTTCTAGGTTCGGAATGTATTAGTTACATCCCTGTAACCTGATTTATGTCTTCCCAAAGCATGTATAACTTTGAATTGTCTTCCCCAAGCTCTCTACTGCTCTTTGACCCCTTGATTTCAAAGGAAATCTGAGCATCTAAAAGCAATTTTCCAGTAACTCATACTACAAAGATACAGAATGATTGTTTAACTTTCTGCTAATTATATAGAATTCCTCAACTTTTTATTCACTTTATTCATGTGTATACATCAATATTAAACTTTAAAATAGGGCTGGCTTATTTAAGTCTTTGTTTTCCTGTCAAATAGATCAAGAAAACTTACTTCTCCAAATTACAAACAATCTATAGCAAACACGTCTTCCCAGGACGTCACAGCACCGTGGGAGACTTGCAAGTCTTGTGAGACTCTCCTATATTCTGTTACTTAAAAGGAACACAATGTTTTACTGTCTCATTTCATGTTTTTTCATGCAGGAAAATGAAAGAAACAAATATAAAGTCAATGAGTTTCTGTAGTTAGAATTCGAAATGAGTTATTAGAATTTCCAGGTAGCTTTTTTCTACCCTATAATTAAAAAATTATGTAATTAGAAATACAATAAATTGTTTTACAAGTTATATTATTACGAAATTCAGAACTTCAGGACTTTCAAGCTTATTTCTATAACTGAAGGAAATAATTTATATTCATGTAAATTTTCTTTGAACAAAGCACTTATAGGACAATAAATATATTTATCTTACAAAAAATTATATTTTGTTTCCATCATGGTTTAGTAATGTATTTCTAAATTTTGCAATTAGCATATATAAATTAAGGTAATTTAAAAATAATATCTGCATATGTAATAACTTCAAGAACATAAGCAAATGACAAATGGAATGGCTTTAGAGTGTCACTTTTAAATACATATTCAGAGATTTAAAACAAAAATTACTTTTGGAAAATTTTCTCAATATTTCTGATGGGAATTGGTTTTGATCCTGATTTTTATGCTAAATTAATTTCTCCTCACTTTGTTACTAAATGCTGGACTGACTGAATACATACACTATATAGTTTCCTGTTGAAAGGAAGAGGAATGTAGCTCTCTAGAGAAGATTCTACGTAAATGTTGGGAAGAAGCTGGCAGGAAGAAATATCTTAGCCATGAATGTAATACTTACAGTTTTAAAAATGAAAGCTTTAATTCAATTCTAAAAGCCAAAATGGCTTTTGAAATATCTGACTGTTTGCTCTTGAAATATCTGCTTTGATTAAAATCATCGCCCTATTTCTTTCTTGCAAATAAATCATCAGAAAAACCATGGAAAGCCAACGTCCTGAACTGTGGGAACTTATTGACTGAAGTTAAAAAGAAATCTAATTAAGACCCATAGACCTTGCAGACGTCTGTTTGTTTATATTATTCTCTATACGGATGTTATGTTTTTCATCTGCTTCCTCTAGTACAATATCACTCCTGTTCAACAAAACATTAAAGTGGCTACTCTTAATCAACTTTCAATGTGAAAAATTTAATGGGGAAAGATAACAAGAAAAATTGCCGTTGGTCGGAAGATAGCTTGGTGTTATTAAAGGTATGCAAACGTTTTTTATTGTTTTACACGTGAGTGTTATATAAATAGTAAGGACATCTGTTCAGAATATAACATTACAATTTTATACGCCCATTAGCACCTGAGAAGGAACCGACTAAATCAAAGAAAAGATATTTAACAGAGCTTCACAAAAAAATTCGACCTACTTCTCAGTACAGAAGGTGGGCTCGGTTATTCTCAACAAATCTTTTGCTCACTTTATAAAACTATCTACTCTCAGGTGTTGTTAAATATACCCATGAGAATAGGGAGGACTCTTCTGAGGACCAGAGTCCCTAGTTTATGTTAACAGTGCACATTTTTGTCTGAATGGACTAGAGAAGAGGTGAATGGGTCCTGAGCACGTGTCAAGTCACAGTTATTTAGTGAGAAATGCAAATAGGATTCTTGTGGGTAAAAAAATAAAATGTGAGAGTAAAGATATAGAGATATTAAGCTCAAGGCAAGCTATTTGACCTAATGTAGAAAGCAAGAAGGAAACTAAGCCTGAGCAAATGATTTTAAGAAGTACATGACATAGTTGGAACCACACAAAATGAATTTGGCAGCTGTGTCTTCATGTTGCAAGAGTGGGAAAAACTAAGAGGCAAAGAGACAAAAAAGGAGGGATTATAGTATTTCTTAAGATGAGAAACGAATCATACACAAACAGGGATTGTATCTTGAGAGATGAAGAAAGGGGGATAGATATTGAAGATGTTGTGAAGAATTGAAGATCTGGCAACAACTTGGCTCAAAGATTGTAATTTTCCACTGCCAAAATTTTCTCAATTTTAGGACATGGCAGAAGATCAAAGTCTGAGTCTCTTTTGCTTATACAGATCAAGTGCAACAAGAGTGTTACACATTAGTTTAGATATTCCCTGGGCTTTCTTTCTAAATAAAAGGGCCACTTTGAAATGTGATTCCAATAGGATTAATGATCCCATTTGAACATGTATTTTTGAAAATGAGTGATGGCAATCGAATAAGGAATCTATACTGTACTGAGTATCTACTGAAGGTGGTGCATGGTGCTAAAAAGTTTACATTCCTAGCTTATGTTAAGCCTTGTGAGACTTGTGGAGGAACTTGCTTTTATTTCCCTTTGATAAAAGTAGACACTGAGACTCTGGGAGGTTCAGAGTATTGCCCAAGATATCATAGCCAGGAAGGAAGTGGCATCTTTGGGATTTAACTGCATTGCTATGTTAGTGCCTTTATTCTATACTGCCTTCTATCACAAAATATTTTACTAGTGATTATGTTTTGTACATTTAAAAATTACCCTTTACAAAAATTAGATCTGTTTCCGCAAATGCAGAGGTGTATCTTTCATATTTCATGCGTATTTTTTGGCACGTTGTCCATATCTCTCTCATCTATATTTAATTGTCAAATCCTATATGGGCAGTAAATAGGATTGTCTAATTCAGTTTACAAAATAATAAATTTATAGAGGTACATAATAAATGCTACTTAAACTTTATTATCAAAACAAATGATTTATCTATTCTTCCTAATTGCATTCTCTGTCTATACTTCTCATTGACTTTGGAAAAACAGTTACTCTTGTCCTCTGTATAGCAGAAGAATCACAGAAGCACCACTTAAAGGTATGCAATATAGTCTACTATGTTTGACAGTTCTACACCCGGTTAAAAATATACATATATACAAAATAAAGATCTGTATTTTAAAATTAAAGTATATTTTAATTTTAATGAAAAAATTAAACATGAAATTTTATTATACACTCAGAGAAAGAAGTAAAATATTACTTAAGCAAAGGAAAGCAATATTTTACAGTTTTTCATGACATGTACATGATTTCCAAAGTTGATTTGTTTTATAGGAAGGGTTCTTATACAGTTATGCCAACTGGTTCCATGTGTCTCCTATCTGAAGCTTCATGATAACCTTCGTAGTTACCAAGTGTCCAAGTCTTACTCAGTTACTACAAAATTTGGGTTTCTAAACTTTGTAGAATTTTGCCAAAATCCTCCACCAAGTTAAAATTTGGCAAGTAGATTGAAAACATGTAAAGAGCTAAATCAGTATAGCTCAAACCACTGAGCAATAACACTATTCATATGCATAACAAATATGGTACCAGTTTCTAAAATGCCTGAAACTTTCCAATTAGGAAAGCCTTGGATATAAATCTTGAACTATCCAACAGCACATTGCCACGTTACAAATTAGAGCATTCTATTCTCTTAAATTTCCTAACCCACTGCATCTGCTCCCTGTATAACTGAGAGTTTAATTTTTTTAAATATTTTTGTATACAACGTAAAACTGGTTCCAAAGACCACATTGTGGACCAGTCAAAAAAAAAAACAGAGAAAGGGGGAAAATGAAAATGAGCCAATTCTATTTCCTATTAAAGAGTATGTATGTTTTCTGAGGTTAAGGATTGCCTAGCACCATACCTAGGTCAAAGTCCAGACTTAATAGGATTGGTCAAAAGATAGGTCAAAAGACTAGATAAATAAAAGTCATTGCAGAATATTTTAAAGTGAGGCTGAATTTGCCCTAGCCTTGAACTCCAATATGACCTGAGCTTTTGGGAAGGAGAACTGCATCTATGAAAAGAGATTCTACGAGTCTTTTCTAGACAGAAATGGAATTTGAAATAGTTGTTCCTAGGGAATTTATAATTCTCTCATTTTTTTAAGGAAAATATATATTGCAAATATAAAATGATAAAAGGAAAAAATCAATCACCATACCTCTCCATTAAAGAAGCAGAAAATTGTAGAGACCAAAAGACCCTGTAAAAGAAAAACACAATTATCTGATTCCAAACGGAAAAGATACATTGTTTGTAACCAACTTGTTGCATACATAGTCAAAAATAAAACCAAAGCTATATGTAAATTTAATACCAAATTTCCCAAGCTGCCTTCCTGATGCAAGAATATCATACCTGATAGTGCATAAGAATGGTTATGATGTAGTCGTATACCTCCTCTGCAATCCTCCCCTCGGGTCGCCATGGAAGCAGCACAAATTCAATGCCAAGTAATGGCACCAGGATAAGCGTAGCTCTCACAGCTTTCATGTAGAGATTAGATTCTGCTTGGTGAGTAACTTTTAACTTGGTGATGAGAACACGTACAATATTTAACAGGAAAAAAAGATTGACCTAAAAGAAAGTGAAACGGTATTAAGAAGCATTATTGAAGGATCTTTAATTTTATAAATCTTAGAATATTTTCGAGGTACAAGAATATGTTCTACTAAAGGGAATATTTGCCTAAGATATTAATTTGTATTTCTGGAATTGTGAATTATTAATTTAACAAGTACATCAATTTTAGTGGACTTGGACTGTAGAAAAATAAAATTATGGTGGAAGTAATGTGGAACATATTCAGTTGAGGAATATCTGAGTGTTTTTCTCAGCATATTTTCTTATGCAATTTTTTTGAATTTTGCTATGGTCCAAAAACTAAAGCTTTTGAACATTTTCAGCTCAAACAAAGGAAAGAATTGTTTATTCTTTCCATTGTTCAATTCTTTCAACAAACGCTAATTTTTTAAAGTGCCTCCTCTGTATCAGTGTACATACTAGGTACTTTCCAAATACATATTACATCATAATAACCATTTTTGTCTTTTTTGGTTTATCCTTCCTGTGTTTCTTTTTGTAACAACAATCCTTGTAACTCCCCAAGATAGTACTGTAATCCTCTTTATCTTTTTGAGTAGGCTGAATCACACACTTGAACTAGTTGATATTCAACCTAGACCATCCTAGAGATAAAAAAATTTTGGCACCTCATGGGGCCTTCTGTTAATTACTTTCTGTAATTACATATTTACTATGTGTTAACAACTTTCGCCAAGAGAAAACATTCTCTTTGAAAGGGGGACATAAAACTTCAAAAATATAGTGTGGATAACTAAGTTATCAGAAAACGGACAGAGTTCTGCTGGAATACATTTCTGTGTCTTTCTCTCTCTCTGGTTACTTTCTCTCTTTGTTATCTTCATCCAAGTCAATATCTTTTACTTTTGTCTATTTTCTCTGGGCCCATTCCTTATGCCTTCCATAGGATTATGGACATGAACTCCAGACGAGACCCTTAGGACTCTTACGGTATTATGCTATTTTCTTTTCTTTTTTCTCACCCTGACTTCTAGCATCTGTGCTTGTCTAATAATCTAAAAATTTCAAACTGCATACCAATATGGAATTGATATCCGCATACCTTAATAAATTGAAAAAATAATGGTAGCATCTCATTTAATGTAGAAAACAATGAACAAATAACATAAGTTTGCTGATTTAAGGCATGTGCTATGAAAATAACTGGTCATAAAAACATTCCACTATTATTTTTAGACAATTCAATGGAACATATGCTTCAAAAATAGACAGCACACTATAATCCTGATGGAAGCACATCTATGAAAAGTAACATGGTTACAGACACAGGAATGTCTCTGCTAAAGACAAAAGCAGAATAAGCCATTTCAACAGGTGTAAGAATGAAACATGACAAATCAACTCATCAGCTGTTATTCTACCCATCCTACTGTGCTCTCTTCCTAAGCACTCATTGCTGTTTTAAAAGTTCAGCTAAATGGAAATTACTACCAGCCCATAGAAGAAAAAATAATAATGCCTTTTTACCTGCTTATAAATTTAGAATATAAAATATTTCATAATCCTAATAAGCAAAAATCTTAAATGATAAAAATCAGTAGAAATGCTGCAATTTAGATGCCCATTATTTGCAACTTTCTAAATGCAAAGTGCTTGTCCAAAATGGCAAGTCTGATTTAAAATGTGAAACTAGAAAGTCATCCTACTTCATTTTTCGCAAATACTTCCATTTATTGTAAATAAAAAATAGACCAAGAATTTTTGATTTCAGATGAACTATATCTGAATTTCATCCATCTTAGACCAACACTAGTTCAGGAGAAGAGAAGAAAGCTGTTTTTACTGGAATGCCCATCAAGTTTCCATAGCTAGTAGGCACAACAGGACATTTTCATGTCATGATACCACCCCAGGGTCATGACAGGAAGCGGGGTGAGTCAGCACAGTGGCGGTAGGAGGATTCCTGGGAGCCATTCTTGTTCTAGAACAACCAGCAATCACTTAACCAGGCACTGAAGTGACCTAAGTATCTGTCACTAAACACAAATTGAATGTAACCCCTCTCAACTTCCCCTTAGCAGGATCTCAAAAATGCTGTAGTCACGTTAGTACCACCCTGCTCAAGGGGAAATGTGACAGAGGAAGTCTGAGTGGAAAGAAACAGATTGCGGTTGAAATCTCTTATTTATACAAAACATATGACCATACAAACAATTGCTTGAGCCCCGCCCAAGACCTTGGAATTGGCCAGGACCAGTGAGGAGCCTTGGAGCTTAAACAAGGACGGAACAATGTATCCTGGTAGAAAAATAGGTTTCTAATAATTTTTAGGCCAAAAAAATGGAAAAAGTTTTATGCAAATCATGTGGATTTCACTTCCCTTCCTCCCGAGCAGCTTGATGGGCTATCTTCCAATGTGATATTTTACCCCTGCTGCGCCATCTACTCTCCTCTCAAAGTTGACGTGGACAGCCTTTTCCAAGGATTTCGTTAGTTGCTGTTACATTTTTCATTTGCTGAGTGCTTTTACTTATTTCCTGAACCCCTCTGATTTAGGCTTTGGAATCACATACCCCTCTTTAGTCAGATCTCTGGTAATAAAATTTTGCCTTGTATTTGTTCTGTAAGCTCCCAGGTGGCCCAAACAATGGATCTTAATTTCTTTGAGCTCTCCTCAGAACAGAACCATGGTATCACGTAGAAATTACAAGAAATTTTCTAAAGCATTTTTGTTATATTCTAGGCACTGTATTAATGACTCAACAGGATACATCTCATTTAATCTTTACAACACTCTGTGACATATTTATGCTTATTATTCCATAATCCCAGGTGAGAAAGCAATGGCACAGAGAGGTAAAAAATAAAATAAAACAAAGACACTCCGAGATGCACAGCCAGCAGTGGTAGAGCTGGGTTTCAGTGCCAGCTCTTTCAAAGAATACAGAGTAAGGACGTCTCAGGGTACAGCTTAGACACAGTATGTCACAACGTCCCTAGTATGTGCAGGGAGCAAGGAAAGGAAATTCTTCTCTCCCTGAAATTTTCAGTAGAGTCTACATTAAGTTATGTTAAAATTTCCGTAAGAGATATAATAAATTCCATGTGTTGATTTTTTGAACTGGCTATCTTGTGTGGCCAGGAATAAATCAGAAATTTGACACTTATTACACGCTTTATACACACCAGGCTAAGCACTTTTCATGTATTAACTCATTCAATTCCTTGTTAAAAAAATTTTTAAAGTTGCTATTATTACATTTTCTATTTTATGAGAGAGACTTGAAACACAGACTGATTAGTTTGATTGCCTAAGGTCACACAGCAAGTAAAAGGTGTAAGAGCTCAAACGCACGCAGTCAGCCTCCCAGAACTTACCCTCTAATTTTTATGACACGCTTTTGAGAATGGCTTGACAATAAATACATTTGAGAATGGCTTGAACAGTGTTCTAACGTAACCATATGCTAATTGCAGCTAGCAAATATAGCAAAACAATAGAAGAATATTTGTTTAAAAAAAGAGTCTGAAAACATGGGCTGGAAAGCTTTGAATTTTGGCTGAGAAACATACCACCTTAGTCTTTTTATATATAACTAAATATCAGCTGTAATTACAGTCTTAGAGACTGTAATTGCATTCTGGTCTCTCATGCTCTACGAAAGAAAGCATGTTGATTTGGATTAATTTATTTGCCCATTGAAACAATGTAATAAAAGCATTGAATGTGACTTTTGTTTCCCTGCAACCACATTTAAAAATGTCCAATTGGCGCACTTGTATTAAGTGATGATCATGGTAATAATCAAACAACAGTTTAAGCAACATTCTCTTTCCACATTCAAGTCTTTTCTTTATAAGAATATTACTCCTATTACCAACATAAGTGTGTGGGTTTTTCCAGTTTGCCATCCCCACCTACTAGAGCCATCGGTGCCCCCCGGAAGCTCCGACGCACCTCTGAGAACTGCGTCATCGCCCAGGCTTTCTTGCGTCTGACATTTGCCGCATTTGGTCAATGGGAGGAACAAAGAAAGAGAAGTTTGCGTATTTCTTTCTCCTTCCTTTTTCCTGCCAGGCTGTGGTTGGGGCAGTGGCTGTGTTCCTGTACCCAGGGCCACAGCTCCTGTTGGACCACGCCTCCCAGCACTCGCCCATCTGCAGTTAACTGTTCTGTCGCTCTTCCAATCTAGCCGCGGTAGCAACTTTCCACTGTTGGTCCTTGGTGCCTCACCATCCCTTATGAATTAGTTCCTTTGCTCATCCTGCCAGCACATCAAATATAATACCTTCATTAAGCCCTCTTCAATTAAACACTGGGAGCACGTCATCTGTGTCCACTGGGATCCTGAAGAGTACCATAGGCCAGATGATTCAGAAAATAAAGCTGAAATATGAACAATGATGAAAAATGAAGGATTTTAATTACATACCAGTAAAGCAGCACAAATTGGACCGTGGATAATGTAGAGGAGATGGGTATCAGAACTGATCCAGCAGCTAGGGGAAAAACAGAAATTATGTTGAAGATTTTCATTTGACTTAGTTCCAATAGGAATCACAAAGAGAGATTATCTTACTTGTCATTGTAATATAAGCTTCTGGCAACGGCATGTATACAAGCAGGAATCATTGGAAATCCTGTAAATAGTAAAGAAAAAGAAAATAAATAGGCAACTGTCTCTATCGATGGAACTTCTAAAATATGTCATGAAATATGAAACACAGAGATACTCTAGGAACAAAAATAACTGGTCACTATATGTTTATTGAATAAATATTATCTGTATAGTCAGCCAGTAAATATGGTAATGCATTAGGTATTTATATTTTCAGGTTTGTGTGTATAAGTTTTCCTCTAGTATAAGTCATCTTGAATCAGTGGACTCCAGAACTTAAGTCCATAAATGTGCTGCCTAAGCCTCAAGGCTTAGAAGAAATCCAGCATTCGTATATTTTCTGTGAGATGGAATTGGCCAATATTTGGTAGATGATCAGATGTGGGAACAAGTCAAGACTAACTGTGTGAAGAAGAGAAGGAAGAGAGAGATGGTTTGTGCGTCAGAAATTTTTCATGTTTTGAGCATTCTAAATCAGATCTTTCAAACATGAACTGAAGAAATGTTTTATAAAGGTAACCTGAATGCACTAATGATTGTGTGCATGTGTATACATACCTGTATATATCTATATCTATTATCTGACTGGATGGATAGAGGATAGAAGGTAGGTAGATAGATAAATAGATAATGTAATTTCTGTTATGTTCCTGAAAACTAGTCCTTCCTATGGAATTCATTTTCAGGATTTTATATTTTGTATTATTCCAGTTATTTTTTTAATATGCTAGAAGTGTATCATTGTTTCCTTTGTGAATAATACCATGCCAGGAGATTGTGTGAAAAAAAATAGATCTTTTGCACGCCTTTATTCAATAACTGATCCCTCTTAGATAAAGTTACAGTATTTTTTTTAAACAAACAGTTTTAGAATGGAACTTCAAAGCTGCTTAAACCCAATGCCCTCATTTTGCACATGAGGAAAAAGGAGACTCAGAACACCAAAAAGACTAGATCCCTAATTCGTGATTGTAATTCTATTGTTTTAGTCACTAGATATTTAGCCAAGGTACACATTGGGATATTAAATAGAAAAAAAAACAGACTGTATTATTAATTGACCTCTGACTACTGAAAACAATGAATCAGTGGTACTTTGTTTAAATATTTCAATTTGTAGCAATAAACAAAGGTTAATCACCTGATTTTTTTTTAAAATGACTAATAATAAGTATATTTTTATTACAAAGGAACTCTGCATCCTCCAAAAGCTTTCTTAATAAGGTGAAGCAACAGATATGTGTAATGGCACTTACCCCAGCCAAGAAAATAATACCACATCAAGTGTTGCTTCTCTGCAAACACAGCCACCACAATGAGTGTGTGTAGGTAAATGCCTTCACAGAGCATCCAAAAGTAATTACAGCCCATCAGGTAATGATGAACGAACTGAAACAGTTTACAACTAATCTGTGAAAAAAAAAGAAAGCAATCAATATTTAATTGTTTATGAATTCACATGTAAAGCCATAGTCTAGTTTACCTCAGTTATATAGAAACACAGAATTTTCTCTCCTGTACAGGAAATCTTACACAGTAATGATTCAGATTTGTAAAATGCCGGCCTGCATCCTCATCTAATGGTGCCTCTAAAGTTTTTAGCCACTGACTCTAAAGATTTATAATGGCATACCTCCAAGGAAATCTGTAAATTCCAAATCTACTACATTTAGTGGATATATATTTTCCTAATGTGTTTAAGTTATTATGTAACTATAATATAAAAGTTTCACACATGAATGACTTTACATCTATTTTAGTTATGTCACCCTGAACTCCTTGATGGTTGCATTCTGTTGGAAAAATCTTAGTAATCATCTTAATAATTTTAAAAACAATTCATGAAAAGTGCCAAACACTTGGAAAGTCTTGCATATTAGGCCACCAGTACAAATATTTATTAAATAATAACCTAATGAGCCCATGCTTTGTCTTATTAAAATATGGGGTTTGGGGGGCTGGCCTCGTGGCGTAGTGGTTAAATGTGCGTGTGCTCTGCTGCTGGCGGCCTGGGTTCAGATCCCGGGCGCGCACCGATGTACCGCTTGTCAGGCCACGCTGTGGCGGCATCCCACTTAAAGTGGAGAAAGATGGGCACGGATGTTAGCCCAGGGCCAGTCTTCCTCAGCAAAAAGAAGGGGATTGGCTTGGATGTTAACTCAGGGCTGATCTTCCTCACAAAAAAAAAAAAAAAAGAAAAAAAATATGGGCTTAGAAGGTTTCATGTGAGTATAAAGAAGAAAAAGTGATGGTTTTCCTTCCTCTTTTCCTGAGGTCTCCACTTCTCTTCTCCACTCTTAAAGAGACAGGAAGAGGGACGTTCAAGTATAGGGTAAAGAAAACATGGAGTAAGAATTTACTCCCTTAGCAAGGGGAATAAATTGAAAGCTCTCCCAGAAACACATGGCCAATTATTCCCATCAGCTGCAATTTCCAGTCTGGAATGCAGTAAATATTTAGCAGCAATTATCATTATTTTGAAATAAATATTTTTTTCACTTAAAAGAAAATTGGAAATGAAATGCACTGGAAAATAAATATTGGGTTATCATAGAATAGTAATAATGACATTTGCATACGAGTTAGCTTAAAAATGTTTTTAATATATATTGTTTTATTTAAACCTTAAAATAATTCTGTGAGGCATGATTTATCACTAGTCACATATCTTATAGATTAAAAGCTGAGTACTAGAGGGGCTGGCCCCGTGGCTTAGCGGTTAAGTGCGCTTGCTCCTCTGCTGGCGGCCCAGGTTCGGCTCCGGGCGCGCACCAACGCACTGCTTGTCAGGCCATGCTGTGGCGGCGTCCCATATAAAGTAGAGCAAGATGGGCACGGATGTTAGCTCAGGGCCAGTCTTCCTCAGTGAAAAAAAAGAGGAGGATTGGTATGGATGTTAGCTCAGGGCTGATCTTCCTCCCACACACACACACAAAAACAACTGAGTACTAGAGAAGTTAAGTGATTTGCTAATATTCATACAACATCAATCAAAAGTATACCCTGAAAACAAGTCTTGTATTTCCAATTTTGTTTTCATGACTATACATAATGCCTTCTAACTAAAGGACATTTATAAAACCTTTTCTTTCATTAAATACATCTGCAGAATGCATGACGCTAAATTTTAAATCAGGTACCTTGATGTCAAACAATATTATATTAACAATGTCCTCTCAAAGGTAAAAATGAGTTATTCAATTATATTATATAGAAATAGTAGACTTCAGCTTCAAATTTTTATTTGCATAGTTTTTAGATATACATATGTAATTGGGCTTCTAACTCCTGATTTCATTTTTAAAAATTAATCCATAAACTATTATGATAAAAAGAACTAAAAGCATGCTTCGGAAAAATATTTTTATGAAGGACATTCGTGATATAAACAGGCAATAAATTTTCCAAGAATACATCAAAAATAACCATACTCCAGTTTGCAATTTGTGTGTTAAACACAATATCCTTGTATATAAAAGTGAGATTTCGAATCTCTTGCTCTGCAGCTTCATGACAAAACTTTGACTTTCCTTGTTCTAGAGAAATTCACTCTAAAATGGCAGGACATTAGTCAGTTTTTTATATTGCTAATTATACACCAGTGTGTTTCCTCACCCGGTGACTTTAGAGTGGAACATATACAAGATTAAGCAATCCGGATGCACGTGTGCAAACAATGCAGGGAATTTTAGAATTTTGGAAATTACCCTAAAAACACACATAAAACACATATGAGAGTATTGTTTATTGACCCATTGAGTGAAAATTCCTTCCCTTTTCTGACTTCAGTAACTAGATAATCTTTAAAAAACCACTTTATGTATACATATACACACACCTCTCCACAAATCTATATCCAAAACTAGGTACAGATACTACAAACATTATGAAAGCAGATGATTTAAAAAATTTGAATATATGTTTGTTATTTATCTAGATATTTTCATTGAAGTATAGCTTCCATATGCATATAGCTTGCATAAAATATATACATTCGTATAAGTAAATTTTAGGTTATGTTTTAATAATATAGCTTTTATGTTATGACAGCCTTTGTGCTTATTTTTGTGTGTCTTTTGATAACTCATCCTAAAAATTGTACTTCCAAAGGCATTGTAAGGAAACAATTTATAAATGTGTGCTGAGGTGATAAGGACTTGATAGAACCCTATAAAAATTTTATGTTCATAAAGTTTAACATTATATAGGGAATGTGTAATTCATTTTCCTGATGGTTTTATTAACTCTTTAAAGTCAGCCTGATACCAAACATACAATTTAATTTAAATTTTCTATTCTCATGTGTAGTTTTTTCTAACTACACAGAGTTAGTTGCTTTGATTGATTTTTCAATTCAATTGAGTAAATGTTATGTAGTCATAAACCCTTATGTCCCACCAGGAGCAGGACTCTAGCCATAAAATGAGGTGAAGATATGTGTAACATATGTAAATTATTGAAGCAAAGAAATGTATTCCTCCTTTTGATATGCAATCTTTATAACTTGTGGATTATTGAGATATATTTACCTTTCTGGATTGGAATATAGCTACATATACTGTCTATGTGACAGACCTTAAAATATACATATATGAGTACTTAATTACACACCTAATACACATATCAGGGCCCCCACCCCTCCCATCTCTTCCCCACTAACCTCTTGAATCTAAGGACACAACCTTGTTTTACTTACAGGATTTGAGGCCACTAAGGGCTGGTTGTTGGCCACTGCAGTGAGTTGAATGATTGTTACAATAGAGTTACAAACAAAAGAGAAGAACAGATTTTTGTGCAAGGTAATTCTTTGGCAACTTAGGCTCCTAAGGGGCAAGAGAAACCAAAGGATGTTGACATCATAAAATGTTTCCACATTTTTTATGAATAATCATTTAAATAAGATACATTCACAATTCATAGCAGCTGCTCCAAATTTGGAGGAATTATTTTTTCTCCCCAAGATTTACTCATGATAAAAAACTTAATTAGGGAAAACTTGTAATTCCTTAAAACATAGAGACAAATGTCTTGCTTCAGTGCAGGTAGACATATGTAGAGATAGGAAATTTGTCTTATGAGGCCTCTTTATAAATTTCTTCTGTTAATCTCTCAACATGATTAATATTTGATTCATTCTGAAAATGTAGAAGCTGATATTCAGTGAAGTTAGATCATTGATCAAAAGATTATGCAGCTAATTAACTTGAAAACTTTGGATTTGTCTGTCAGATTCTTACACAGATAATGGTCTTTTCATTATACCATGTAGGTTGTTCTGTTTATATAGCCTGTTTATAGTTGTTCTGTTTATACCACGTAGCCTCTCTGTGCTGGTGGAGATTACGCAGACAAACCATGAGAAAGAAAACATTGTATTCAGAATAGATAAATTGATAAAAACATAGACTTAGCAACCAATGAGGTTTGTTCAGCTTGACTGAATTTTTTTTTCTAATTGGCCCAACCATACATAAGATATAAAAATATTACCACGTTTTACTGGAGGTCCTCATAAAACAAAATAAATGAGCGTTATGGAGTTCGTATAGAAATAGATTTCAGGAAAAGTTGTCATTAATGACAAGTAACGTTGCTCTTCAGATTGAATCCACGTTCACTCTACGAGATTGTCCTTTTATGACTGCCTTACCTATGCTCAAAGACCAACTCAAGTACTACCTCCTTCATGGAGCATTTATTTGAAGGCTTATAATGGGTAAAGTTTTAAAATAGTAGAAAGGAATACATTTGAAACTGAATGCTTAATATCAAAACAAAACACATATGTAGGAAGACATGAGGAATCATTTCATTACAGAGACTTAAAAGCTCATTTTATGTTCTTACAAAATTATGCAATTAATATGGTCAACCCAGATAATCCACCCTATATAACTCAAACCCCAAATGACTTTACTTTGGAAACTTTAAGGAGATTTTAATCTAATTTTATCACGACATCACTTTATCCTAAATAGAATATGTGCCCAGGATATTATAGTTAGGCAGGGATGCTAAGGTTTTCTATATTTAAAAATGTAAAGTTTAGGCTATATCGTCTCTAAAATTTCTTCTGGTTATAGGTCTGTGATTCTATATATAACTAGTATTTTAAAGCATCTGGAAGTGAATTCAATCTCAGTGAATATTTATGGATTTTCAATACACGCCTTCCACAGAAGTGCGTGCTATAAGGGACACTTCTGTGAAAGGCTTCATGACCAAGATGGCTCTTGGATCAATCCATTGTCTTTTAAACAGTCATCGACTGACAAGTGTGTGAAGTCCAGCTAGAGTCCATCAAAATAGAAACAGCTGAGAATTGCTAGTATTTTCATATTAGACAGTCTTTATTTGATTTGACTTTGCAGAGTGTGAGAGTAGTGAGAGGCAGGCAGGGACCAAGCTACAGAGTGTAGATGATGTTCTATAGAAAAGAAGAATCTTTGAAAGTTTTGAACAAAGGAGTGGCATGATTCTTGTTATTATTTAAGTAAAGTCAACATTGAGGCAAAAATGGTTCTATTTTCAATAAAATACCACAGCAGTGACACAAGTGCTTTGTGTTCACTGGGGGTGAAGAGAATTAACGATATGAGAAGAGGTCTAGTAAAGAATATTCTTTCCAAATCATTTGTATTGTGTGTGGTTTATTTCTTGTAATTTATCATTCTTCGGTGAAGAATATTATGAACATATAAAATTTTCCACATGGTCTTATTTTAAAATGCTTGCCTTGAGCTTAACCCATGTCTACGGAGTGCCAACTATTGTTTAGGGAAAAACTGCTTACCCATGCAAATACTCACTTTTTTAGTAACAGAATTTAGATAGCTCAGCTACCATTATGGGAAAAAAATTAAGATGTTTTCCTTAACTGGACTATTTTGCCCTCCTCTGCTGAACACACTTATATCCAGGCCCATTGGTTAAGACATATATATAAACAACAAAATTTCATAGTTTTGAAATTACAACCAAAAGGCAGGCAAGGTTTGCTTAGACAGCAAATCAGAAATATTTGTAGAGCAAATTAGGATGAAGGAAAACAAACATTAAAGGAGGCTTTCAAAAATAGCAATTCGTGACGGAATTAAGGGCTGAAAGATAGGAGCTGAGGAACATAAAACAAACAGCATTTATATTATAACTGCTGATATTTATAATATTCACATGTGAAAAGGTTGGAAGTAAGTAAAATAAAATGCTAACTGTAGTTAGTTGAAAAACAATTTTAATTTTCCTTGTTTACACTTAAACTTCCTTTTCTTCTCCGTGATGGTCTGTATTTCTGTTTCTCTCAGAATTCCCTCTTTTCTGATGACTCTCCTCCTACCTCAACCTGGCTTGAAAGTTAAGGACTTAAAAATGAGCTACTGGTATCTGTTTTCTTCTAAAGATGTGATTATTTTGAGTACGGTCGCAAAAAAAAATGGCTTCTTATTCTCTTACTCTGTGATACAATGTTATACAGCATTTTCCTTTTTTAGACCCAAACCATGTCATATTATGGGCAAAACTTTGAAATGATAGAATTAAATCCTATTATAAATGAAATATTTAATATCCAAACCAAACAAATACTTAATAGGATACATGAAATCATTTCAGTACAGAGACATAAAGCTTATTTTGAGTGTTTTATGAAATTATTCAAATAATATGGTCAACATAGATAATCCACCCTATATATCTTAGACCAAATATTTCTGCACTGGAAACCCTGATATCCAGTTTAGCTGTCCATATTGTTGTAACAATCTGGACCATAGCCAAATCATTTCACTTCGTGTTGTGTAAACATGTCCTACTATTTACGATACTAGCCTACTGTTGTTGCTTTAGGTTCTTCCATTTCTTCCTCTAGGTTCTGTGCAACTTAATGCAGACAGATGCTATCTGACATATGCTTTCTATCAACGTCTAGTGGTAAAAATAGCTCAGATTTTTCTAGTGATACATATTGTTTTCTTCTAAACATATTCATTGATACATGTAAGTACATTCGTACAAATAAAATCAACTCGTAAATGAAAACCAAAACATGTACTTGGTAAACACACTGGTTTGATTAAATGAAACCCTAAAAATATATAGATATTTTTCCAATGTTAACTTGCAACCAATTTCACCTACTCTAAATTTTTAAATGTGTTGTTTTACTCAAAATATTAAAACAATTGTCTTATAGGATTAGAGAATGTTTTACAAAAAACTCTCTCCCCTTTCTTTAAATGTTATAATATCCTTTTCTATCCTAGCATAACCACAGAATAGAAAATGTGGTTTGTGGGTCTGGATGGTTTCCATTTCATAGTCTCTACATATAATTATTTTAGGACACTATTTCAATATGCAATTTTGACAAGCAGAGTTATAGAGGCAGTTGGTGTAAGTGTGTCAATAAAACCATTACACTGCATGTGGAATGTAACTATGCCATTCAGTTCTCTTTTGGAACAATTAGAAGCAGACTGCATCAAGTCAGTACATAGTTCAGAGTGGGTTTTGAAACCTGACCTGAGAGTGAATCTGGACTGCCACACTTACTGACAGTACGACTTTGGGCAAGTTATTTAAAAACTCTAATCCTCAGTTTCCTCATCTGTAACACAGGAATAACAATAGTACTTCATAGGCTTGTCTGGAAGGTTAGATGAGATCAATCATATCTAGTGCCCAGCATAATATCTAACCCATGGTGAACACTCAATGTTAAGTTAGCTATTATTTTTAACATAGTTATCATATGGCTGATTGTAATCAAGTTCTCTAATGGTTTTCTCTCACAAATAATAAAATAGCATCAAGGTTCACCTCAGTAATATAAAACTGCCCATGTTTTAAGTAATGCAATGAAATAGTAAATTGTCATGTTTTTGTTACAAAACACAATAATTTAGCATTAGAAAGACAATTTCCATGTGATGAAGGGCAATAACTTAAGCAACCTAAATTATCTTCCCAAGGAATTTCATCCTTCCCAGAGTTTCATCCTTCTCCATATTTCCACCTTCATTATCAGGCTGACCCCAAGTATTATGCTGCTCCTTATTCAAGGCTCTGACACAGAATGGACAAAATACTTGTCTTTTGTTTCCCATTTAGTTTTGACATGAGGTGGAAATTTCCAAATTGCTTTCCTCGATACTAATCCTGAGCAAAACTAGTCATGGAAAGAGGAAGTACAAGCAATATAAGAATAGCCGGTCTACGAAGTACTGCCTTCTTATGCCAGTTTATCTAATTTAGTTTCCAAATGCTCAGCTCTTTTCCCAAGAAAACACTACCCATGTATCCAAGAGGAAAGTTCATGCCAATCTGAACACTGCCAAAAACAACGGGCAGAAAGCAATAAATGTATGAAAAGAAGAAGCAACATGGCTATCTTTCATCTACTAAATGGAAACTCGAGTTCATGGAATCACCTGGTTATGTATGACACAAAGTAAACATAACTTCTATCAACAGCTCTCTTTCGGAGGCTGCTGGTGATCCATATGGCCAGATTAGAAAAAGTACAGGAGTGTTTCAGCCAAGGTGCTCAATGAAAGTCCCTCTGGAGGGCAAATGGTCGCTCTCGCTCCATCATCCTCCCTCTTCCCCTGCCCCTGCCTCTCAGGGACGCTCATTTAATATGAGTACAGGCTGCGGAAGGAACAGACGTGCTCATTTTGTGTGGCCAACTGGTTTTCTCTCATGTGTGAACTCCCTCAGTGCAAGTGCTCTCCCTGGTCTCCTAATGGACAGGAAACCTAGAGAAGAAACAGTCAGGCTTTCTGAATGCCTGTGATTCTTACACTCCAAGAACCCCTTTTAGAGG